ATTTTTTTTTTTTTTTTTTTTTTTTTTTTTTTTTTTTTTTTTTGCTTCAACATGCAGCTTCAAAAATTTCGTGATGAACTGAAGAACCGTTCTCGGGTCCTGAAAAAGCTTGGTCACATTGATGCAGATGGTGTAGTTCAGTTGAAGGGGCGTGCAGCCTGCTTGATTGACACAGGGGATGAGCTCCTTGTTACTGAATTAATGTTTAATGGTGAGTTTGGGTGCATATTCTTCTGATTATCAGATTCACTTCAATTATTATCAGTTTTGAATGTTTAAAGATTTGATGGATTAGTGAACCTCAAAAGCTGACCTTCATATTCAAATTTTTACAATATAATTTGACTATATTATATAAATATTACAATCAATTTTAAAAGCAAGAGGCACACTAGAAAACAATAGTTTCCAGAGTTTAAGCTTGTGGTGTAAAAAAGGTGAGATCTTTATGTGAGCTGCACAATAGTAAAATGCCAATAATTTTTTACTGGTATAAATGATATGATAATGAAAAAAAGAAAAATTAGAGGGTTTTTAGAAGTTTAAGGATAGAAATTAACATTTTTAAAAATTATTACTTGATTTATTTATAAAAGATAATTAAAAAAAGGGATTTAAGGTGCTGAGGTGCTTGCTGAGAAGCATGTGCATCAATGCGCCTTATTAAGGATACACTGCGTCCTGAAGAAAGGTGTCCTTGCATTTCTGGAAAGTGTGACCACTCGATAAAACAGTGATTACAGTCTATTCTCCCTCAGAATGATGTCAAAAATGCATTTTATTTACTTGTGGACTTGGTTACGCATGCTGCTTTTGAATCTGAGTTGTGCATATGATTTAGTTGAGGGATCTTTTGCTGTTTTCAACAATGCAAATTATAGTGTTTATTATCTCAGGGAGATTCTATGCTCCACATGATGTTTCCATTATTAGGTCTGTTGGATAATCTCTAGATCGTTGCTCATGACTTGGGCAATGCTTTTGGATCTTTGGGTTGAAAGTAATCGCTTTATGATTGTAGTTGTGAAGTCAGATTGTGGATAGTACTGGTCGCATATCTATGCTTGGCCTTTTTGTTTTTCAATTGTAATTATTTATATTCTTTGAACTTTGAGCGTGAACATAACTCATTAAAACATTATATCATCGATCAGAAGATTAGAGATTTGAATTTTCATTGCAACTTGTTGTTACAAAAGTTCACTCTTTCTTGATTCAAGCCAACTGGAATGCTTTAAGTTTTTCAGTTTATACCTCTTATACCTAGAAAAGTTATATTTTGTTAAAATCTCAACAGGAACATTCAATGACCTAGATCATCACCAGATTGCATCCCTTGCAAGTTGTTTTATACCAGGAGACAAGTCCAATGAGCAGATTCAGTTAAGAACCGAGCTTGCTAGACCATTACAGCAACTCCAAGATAGTGCGAGAAGAATAGCTGAGGTTTTAAACCGCTGAGCACCTACTGTTTATTCTTTTTTAAGGGCGTTTTTAATTTATTTCCAAACACAATCATATTTTATTTGGATATAGATACAACATGAATGCAAATTGGAGATAAATGTGGAAGAATATGTGGAATCAACTGTAAGGCCGTATTTGATGGATGTCATTTACTGTTGGTCAAAGGTTAGTATATTTTTTGTATAATTTTATAATGACAACTGATGGCTGATTTTGTTTATTTTGATGCGTTTGCATGCTTCATGCAACACGAACACATTCATGTATATTATGCATTTAATTGCATTTAGTCATCTTATTTGCAGAAATCAAAATTTCAATTCCTTCGATCTTTGATTTATCAATAGTATATACAAGCAATTCTGGATCTTTTTTATCTCTTCCTATATAGACTAATTTTCTGATGTTTTTGTTATGCGGACTAAGTACGATAGAATGCTACATCTTGTATCTTGTTTCATGCACTAGGCATACATGGAAGTTCTAAACTAATCAAGTAAAACTACAGTTAAAAAAAAAAAAAAAAAAACAAAACAAACGAACAAAAATATCCTATATACATCATCAATACATGCTATAACACACCCCTCTAACTGGAGCATGTATTTCCACTCATCATAATCTGCCAAATTAAAATATCATGAATTGAAACAGCATGAAATTATAGAAATAATTAAACAACCATACCTTAATTGACTTGTCTTTGTCATGTACATGTTGGAGTCTTTTAAACAATAATGTTTTACCATGTTCATATTGTGTCTTGTCCATGATATTTAAACAGTGCATATCTTAATAAACATGTTTTATGTTTTAGACTCTTGAGCAGTGTTTTATGTTCTAGCCTCTTGAGCAATAAGGTTTTACTGTGTCCATGGTGTGTCTTGTCCATCTTTGTGCTTTTTTTCCATCTTTATGCTTTCTTGTTTGTGGGAAAGAAACGTACTTTAGTAGTATTGATATAATTAAGTTTACCATAACCCATTAGCATAAGCTTTTAGGTTGATTTGATGATTTAACATATATCAGTACAAGAAGTCTTGTATTTGAACCCTTATAATTCAATTTCCTCTCCAATTAATATTGATTTACACTTGTTGGGTTTTCTACAAATTTTCAAGGCCACAAGTAAGGAGTGTTGTATTGATGTAATTAGATTTTTGTAACTTGATCTAAGCCACATGTTGCTCAAGAGGCACATGCTGCTGTATCATGCTACACTTGATCTTAGCCAAAAGGCCGAGAAAGATATGAAAATTAGTAATTTGGGAAGCAAGAAGCAAAATGTGGTGGCAGATGAGTGTTCAATGCAATGTGGAAAAACTCATTTTGCTCGCAATTGAACTTCTCTAGCACTACTTTTCAATGCGGAGCATTTTCTAAATGATTTCTTTCACTAGGAAGGACTAACAACGTATTACATTCTAAAACTGATTGTCCCAATGTTGTCAAGTCCCTCAAATTTGCTGGTTATCATTTTTTGGATGCTCAAAACACTTGTGTTATTTATTCTACAATGTAATGATGGCTTTCTTCATACAGGGAGCGAGTTTTTCAGAGGTGATTCAAATGACAGATGTTTTCGAGGGTAGTATCATTCGAAGTGCTAGAAGGCTTGATGAATTCTTGAATCAGGTACAAACAAATAAAATATATATTTATAAACTACTTATTTCTGCTTTCTCATGCTTGAAAGCCTGAACCCCTTTCACAACGAAACCTATTTCGCAGGCTGCAAAAACCTAGGAAAATCATTTTTTGATTTTATATATTTGTCAAAGTAATAAAGAAACTTGGGCTATACATGAATAAAAGGGTTTTTGCTTCTTCTTCTTCTTCTTCATTAATTCAGTTGCGTGCTGCTGCCAATGCTGTGGGGGAGGTAACCTTAGAGAGTAAGTTTTCTGCGGCCAGTGACAGCCTCCGCAGAGGTATAATGTTTGCAAACTCACTCTATCTGTAGATTGCCCTCTGCTTTGGTTGCATCTTTAGGGGTTTATGAAGCTCTGGGGTTGTGGATTTCATCAACCATCTGTCATTGAGGTATGCTTTCTTTTTAATGTATAAGATGTACTGTAATACAATTTTTTGGATATTTTAGCATTCACTAGAAAGAACAGATATTACAATCTGAGAGGCTAATAACCGATCACGCGAAACACTAACAGAACTGTTAGTGTAAATGTTTTACACAATTTTAGTTATTGTTTCCTTGGAGAAAAATTGTTAAGTTTAGCAGTCCTAGTGGAAATCTAGTTCTTAAATCCTACATTTTTATTGGTTTATTAATTTACCGATGGTTCTGGAAAATTACCACATGGTTGAATGATTGGAAATTCACGAGTTGTACATTTTCAAAATAAATTTTGTGGGGAGTTGAGATTTTTATTGGACAAATTTGAGGACTGAAACTTGTGACCAACTTTGAGTCCATGTTTTTTCTTAGGATCCCTCCTTTCCCACTTGCAATTACTTGCTCCGAGTATACAACTTTGTGCAGTATGACAAAGATAAATAGTGCACGACTTGACTAGTCGACACACAACTTTCTCGAGCGAATTACATATGATTTTTGTGATGCTCCTTTTGAGTGTGTTCTTATGTTGTTTTGGGGCCCTTTTTATGCATTCGTGAGTATTTGACAGAAGATGCACCTCCTTGCCCTTTTTTTGTGTACTCCTTTTTTATACTGAAATCTTTGTAACTCGAAAAAATATATCAGTAGGCCACATGTTTATTAACAAAACTGACTATCTATCTATCTATCTGTTTGTGTACTCTCCCTTTTTATACTAAAATCTTTGTAACTTGTAGAATTTGATTGATGATATTAAAATAGTACGGAGAGTTGGGGTTCTCCACATTTGGAAGGTCTCAAGACAGATTGGATATTGAATTAGCGGTGATGTAATAGAAAGATTATGTGCTCTGTTGTTCATGGTGCTTCTCAAATTTCTTATGTTCTCTGTTGCTTTACCCTGACTGTCACCTCCTCATTTACTGCCGGCGCCGCCCAGAAGGCCCGCCACCGCCTGTCAAGGCTGCTTATTGGAGAGAACCTGGAGAATTTTTGAAGGAATTGGATAAAGTCCAAGAAAATGAAAGCTAAAAACAAACTGGTTTATACAGATATGGTGAAGGGGTTAACTTCAGAAATCCATAGGTGGTTGGTGCAGTCCTTGAGAACTTAAGCCAGGAAGAACTTGACTAAGATTAATCAAAATCAGAATCAATATGCTAATTAATTTATTATATTTTTAGCCGGGAAATAATAAATAATACTATTTTTAAGCTATTAAAAACTAATTTCAAGATATTATTTACATTCATAAAAATTACGCAAAAACCTTATTAGTTTACTAATGAATATATTTATTTATGTTTTAAATTCTATGTTGGAACTTTTAATGTATATAGGTTCTATGGTTTAAGATCTCTTTATATTTGAATTAAACTTTCATGTGGGTAGACCTTCGATACAATGAGTTCGTTCCTATATGGGAGAAATGATATTCTATCAAACGTGTTCTTCATTATCATTCCTAGTCAAAGGATTTATTCGATCGAGTTCAAATACAAATTAAATGTTTTATATGTAAAGAAAAACCAATATAAAATAGGGAGACTGGGTGTTGGCAAGTTAAGCAATTATGGGGTTAAACACAACAGTGGAGTGGTTGGCAATGTGCAAACTGAATTGACCTCCTTTCTCGGTCACATCGATCTTCTCCATCCCACTTGGAGGCTTCATTTCAAACTTGGATACCAATTTGGCAACGATGAGCCCTAAGATTGGCATTGCCAACACAATTCCAGGGCAACTCCTCCTTCCAACTCCAAATGGTAAGAACCGATAATCCACCTTGCCTGCAGCAACAGCTTCCGTCCCACTTTCTTCCTCAAAGAACCTCTCTGGCCTGAACTCTTCTGGGTTCTTCCACCACTCGGGGTTGTTTGCGAGCCACCATGCATTCACCACCACCTTGGACTCCTTTGGGATGGTGTACCCTCCGAGTTTCGCCTCTTCCAAGTTCATATGTGGCACCAACAACGGTATTGGAGTGTGCAGCCTCAGCGTCTCTTTCACTGTTGCTTGCAAGTACGGCAGTTCATGAAGGTTGGATTCACTCACTTCGTTTCCCTTTAGGACATTTTTTAGCTCCTCCCGAATCTTGTGTTGGATGTCTGGATGATTCACCAACTCCGCTATTGCCCATTCCATTGACCACAATGTCGTTTCTATCGCTGCCACGTTGATGTTCTCTACGATGTAAATCACATTCTCTTCACTTATCTCGCCTTTCAACTGAGCGTCTATGATATGATCCATAGCACAACTTATGTTGTGCTTATCTCCATTGGCAGCCATAATGTTCCTGTTAAAATTGATAAATTCAATCATGTTAGTTACAATTGAATGAAAACTTGTGCATAATTATATAATGACTTGCTATTACCTTCGCTTCTCGACGTAGTTTTTGTTGAAAAACTCCAACCTCCTACCCTGCAAATCCCTGCACTTGTTCAAATAACCTCGCAAGAAGGGTCTAAGCAAAGGAATGAAATCTCCATAGTTGTACTCAAAGCTCTGCGCCAATCGACTCCTCTCCGAGTTGAATCGAGTCGCTTCAATGAACAAAGAATCGTCTTGGGATTCAAACTTCGCATCAAACATCATTCTATACATGATATTGTACAGCATCAACTGCAAACGCTTTCTAATAACTATCCCCTCGGATTGAAACTTGTCGTTACTCCTTAGATCACGAACCACCGAGTCCATCTCATCCTCCCACATGCCACTATAGTTATGCACCACCTTGTTCGTGAAGAACGGCAACGTCATGATTCTACGCATCTTACGCCAATGGTCCCCATAAACGGTAAACACCATATCCTGACCATTTCCAGTGAAGATATCGAACACGACGTTTCGAGGACGAGAGCCAAACTCAACGCCCTGAGCATGGAGAACTTGGCTAGCAAGCTCGGCATCCGACACGACAACGAGGTTCTTGGAGCCGAGCTTCAAGAGGAATATGGAGCCGAATCTTTGGCACAAGGAAGCGAGAAGGCGATGGTTGAGGTCGTTGCCAACTTGGAGCCAATTGCCAAAGATGGGAAAGGAGAGAGGGCCAGGAGGAAGCTTGGAGGAGGAGGAGGAGGCCATGGAAGAGATGATGTAAGTAAGAAGAGGAGCAAGGAAGATGGTGACCCCCAAAGCAATTGGAGACATGGGGAATATGAATTTGGTCACAAGAGAAACAAGGAGCATTGCAGAGAGAGAAAGGAAGGCAGTGGAAGCCATGTCTAGAGAGGGAGTGAGAGTGGGTTGAGAGATGAAATGGTTTATATAGATGTGGTTTGTGGGGGTAGGAGCCAAATCTGTGTGCTTCTTTGTTATTATAAGTGAAAAATAAAAGGTGGGTTTTGGTGAGGGGTCAAAGCTTGGCGTTGGTGATGGTTGGTGCTTGGTGAAGCCGCCGTTGTCAACCAAAGCAGCCATGTTTGTCCCAATTTTGACCACCATTTTCGCCTCTTTCCTTCCCTCCACGTGCTTCTTACTTTCTTTTCTTTTTTTTTTCTATGTGCTGCTCGTGTGGAAGAGAGAGATTTTCACATCCTAATATACATAATGTATATATGTATATATATACGGGAAAAATTGAATTAGGTACATCAAATAATCTATCACTGTAGGGATCTCTTGATTCCTCATTTATTTCTCCTTCACCCCTTTGTCTAGACTGTATCTAGAGAAAATAGACCAACAAAAACAAGAGAGAATGTGAGATTTACTTTGAGTAAAATGAAAATGGCATTCATTCCGTAGATGCAAATTAGATTATAAATTTACCTAAATTTAACTAGATTTTGCTCGATATTAAGGTAAATCTTATCTCAAATCTTCTCATGATTAGGATTTTTACCATAAATCAAGTCTCTATCCAATTATTTAGAATTAGATTTTAGTTAATAGGGTAGGTGTTGAAATTACTGCTCCAATTATAAAATTGAGAATTATTTTCTTTCTTTTTTATTTAATTTAGTAGCCGAAGGGTGTAGAGGAAAATGCTCCAATTATAAAATTGATATATCAACATTTTAATTGACATTTTTGTAAAAAAAATTCGAGTTTTTTTTTATTTAACTTCAAAAATCATTGCAAGAGCTTCTCACTTTTGTACTCTAAAGCTTTATAAATTCTTAAATTTTGATAAAATATTTATATTTTATTTTGAGGTGAGATATTTGGTCGAGTATAAATATATTACTAATTTATATATTTTATACGAATATATCATTTACATCAACATAAAATATGAAAAAATAAATCAGTTATTATAATGAAGATTTACTAACTTTAAAAAGTTTATTTAAAAATCAATTAGGACGTTTATATATAATTAATTTAATTGAACGGCAGGGTCGTTTACTTTATAGTTTAGAATTGAATGGGTTGTTGAGCCGACAAATCGAAAAACTGTGGGCTGCCAAGTGGGGCCCATTTTGAAATGTGTAAACTGGATCCACCTGCAGACCCGGCCCAATAAAACATGACCGGATATTCGGGTTAAATGGTTTGTCGGGTCAAGTTTGACCTGAAATATTATCAATCTAATTAGAAAGGTTTATTTACCACGAGGGTATTCGAGAGATTTCTCTTCGTAGGCAAATGAGAATAAGGACGGAAATTATATTTCTGTCCCACTTGCATATATAATTATAGGTCAGCTACGCATGGTCGATATTTGATTCCAACTTATTATAGTTTATAAAATATTATCTACCTCTTTAAAAGAAAAAAAAAAAAAA